CCGTCCGTCCCCGCGGCCGCGGTTCCTGCGCAAGCCTCCAAGTTGGCCTTTAATAAAACCTGCAGCTCCAATAACCTTTATCTCTATATATATACATATATCTATACATATACATATATATTAAAAGAAAGCTTGATGTAGCAGCTCTAGTTTAAAACGAATAGAAGTATTTCGGCCCCTGTTTTATTTTAATCACCGCCGTCCCCCTGCCTAAAGTACCCCCTTCCCAATCCCACACTCCCATGGTTTGATGTAGCATCCTTGGAAAAGAGCAAACCAGGTGCTGTAAACGCACCGAGAGCCACCTCGGACCGCGCCGGGGACCGGGGCGTCCCCGGTGCCACCTGGGGCTGGTGGCCGTCCCGGCCTGTCACTGAGGGCGGCCCGGCCGCACGGCTCCGGCGGCAAATCTTGCGTAATTTTTTTTTTCCTTTTTCAATTTTTTTCCTCTTTTTTTTTAAATATATGTATATATATATATAAAATCTTAAAAAAAAGAAAAAAAAAAGAAATAAAAAGAAAAAAAATGACAAAAATGCCCACGACCTTAACTATTTGCTCTGACTTGTATCTTCCTTGGTAGGTGACTAAAACTGGCTTGTTGGTCTCGATCACCAGCAATAGCGCTGAGCCGAAGGCAGCAGCCGGCTCCCTCCGCTCCGCTCGCTCCCAATCCCTTGGTGCTTCCCGGAGCATCCCGTGTGCTCCCAGAGCAGCCTGTGTGATCCTGGAGCATGTGTGCACCCGGAGCATCCCGCATGCGCTTGGAGCATCCGGTGTGCTCCCGGAGCATCCCATGTACACCTGGAGAGTCCTCTGTGCTCCCAGAGCATCCCAAGTGCTCCTGGAGCATCCCGTGAGCTCCGGGAACATCCCACATACTCCCGGAGCATCCTGCATGCTCCTGCAGTATTCCAAATTCTGGAGCATCCCACTTGCTCCCAGAGCGTCCTGCGTGCACCCTTAGCATCCGCGTGCACTCGGAGCATCCCAAAAGTATCCGTGTGCACGCAGAGCATCCAACATGTTCCAGAATATCTGGCATGTTTCTGGGGCATCCCAGGTGCTCCTGAAGCATTCCGCTTGCTTCCGGAGCATTCCAGGTGCCCCAGGGCACCCGCAGGCTTCCAGACTTTGGGAATGGGGTGGAGTAGTATCCTGCTGCGGCATCATCCTCAGCGACAGAAATTATATAGAGAATAGTGTGTATTATAATACATAACGGGGGAAAAAAAAAGAAAAAAAAGGAAAAAAGAACCAAAATTGGATTTATATTTAATGAGGAGATACTATAAAAATATCTTGTCCTAGCTCCCATTTGCAAAAGTATTTTTCAGCTTGGAGGGATAACTATTATTTTTTTTCTCTTTTCTTTCTTTCTTAAAAAAAAGAAAACAAAACAAAACTCCATATGTACCAAGGCTCAGACTGTTACTGTTGTGAACCTCTTTAATCAAAATGCTCCAACCTGTTTATTTAGTATTTGAAGGGTTTATTTTGATGCATTTTCTGGTGTTTTTTAAAGAGAGAGAGAGGAGGGGAAAAAAAAAAAACAGATGAAGATTTTAAAATTAGAACATTTCTTTATAATTTAATATTCTATTTTAATAAATGCATTTATTACATGTAAATGTAGCAAGGAACTGGGCTAATAAAAATACTTTTTATTAGGTAATTTATTATAAGAAAAAAAAGGATATTTTATTTTATGATAAAGTGATCCTTAAAAGTTTAGAAGGTTTAGAATATATGTAGGTTAAAAAATACATTTGTATCCAGAGTATTGCTTAAAAAGTGTTTTTAATATATGTTTCCTTTTCTTTTTGTGTGTGCGTGCGTGTATGTAAAAGGTGATAGTTATGGTGCAGATAGCCCTTTCCAGAAATGCGGAATTAACCCCCTTGGATGTATTTAAAAGGAAAAGAAAAAAAAAAAGGAAAAAAAAAGGAAAAAAAAAAAAGGAAGAAAGAAAAACCCAAGGAAATCATTGCAAAACGGAGAAGCAGAAAGAAAAAACCACTAGGAAGGCCGCGCGTCTTGCGCTGGGGCTGCCCGAGCGCTTGAGCGTGGGGTTTTGGGGCGGCTTTTTGGGAGGCCGCGGCCTCGGCGTCGCCTCTGTCCCTTGTCCCGGTCCCGTCGGCACTTGAGCAGGCACCGTCGCGGGACCCTCCTGCTCCGCTGCCTTTCAAAGAAGCATTAGCGAAAAATGAGCGGTTTTGTTTGTTTTTTAACCAAAAAGAAGGAGGGGAAGGGAGGGAGGGGGAACGTTTGTGTTGAGGGGGTATTAAAAAAAAAGTTAAAATAATAATAATAATAATAATAATAAACGTTCAAATTTATTTCATATAATCCTAGAGTAAAGAGTAAAAGAAAATTAACTAGCTCAAATAGTAGATGCTATCCATATTGTTTAATCTATAGTAGATCCAAGTGATCCCAGACAGAGCAGAATGTAAAATAACCGTGTATGCGCGCTCCCTTTTCGGGTTTAGCTTCCCCAGAAAGTCCATGTTTTTGGGTTTTTTTTTTTTTTTTTTTGGCTTTTATTTGGGTACTATTTTTCTGCAAGCAAACCAAGCGAGCAACAGAAAAGCCTAACGAAAATAGCAGCCCAGTCCCTTCTGCCAATCAAAGGACTGAAGTTATTTTTATAGAGGGGAAAAAGAAAAAAAAAAGAAAAAAAAAAAAAGATGGGATCTAATAATATGTATTTTTTTAAAAAGATACGTTTGGGTTTTTATGTTGCTTTTTTTTTAATAAAAAGAGAAAAAAACTATAAAGATTTGGCTAGTCACTGAGCAAACCCAGGAAGGTTTAGGCCGTTGTTTTTGCCTGGTTTTGCCCCGCGGGGCTTCACCGGGGGCACCGGGGCCGCTCGTGTCCCCCCCAAGCGCGCGGGGCTCCAGGGGGAGGACGGTGCCAGGAGCCGGAGCGGGGACAACGTAGGACATTTGGGTTGTTTCATTCCCTTTTTTTGTGGTTTTTTCTTTTTTTCGGAAGCGGTTCCGAGTCGCGCCGGCCTTCCCCTTTCCCAGCACTGTGACTCTGCCGCGGCGCGTGCCGGGCCCTTGGCTCTTTCCTTTTCGTTTTACCTCATTTTTTGGTTTTGATACTTGAAGAAGGGCCGGTGACGGAGGGCGCGCGGGGACGCGCGGGGCTGCCGAGCGGTCGCACTTTACAGGAACCCGTTTCCCCCCGCTGGGGTCCGTCCTGCCGAGGCCGAGGCCGCTGCCGAAAGGAGCAGACCCAGAATGGGTCAATTCTTCCCAAAAGGCAAAAAAAAAAAAGAAAAAATAAACCAAAAGCCAAACCAAGGTTTTCTAGGCCGTTAGGGAACAATTTCTCTTTTATCGGGGTTTTTCTCCCCAGTCCTGTGACTCCAATACTCTTGGCACAGAGGGACGGCTTGTGCTTCCGCCGTTATTCCCGGTATCTCCATGCACATTGGAAGCGGTGCTCAGCCGCGGGATGAGGTTTCCGAGTCTCCGCTCCGGCTGGTCCCTGCTGGCTCCAGGCCGGATCGTAGCCCGCTCCGCTCATCCCAAAGGCAAGCAGCACTTTTTTTTTTTTTTTTTTTTCCTTTAGGAATATAGCGCCTGTTCAAAATAGGTGTAAAAACAAGGGGAAATCAGGGGCCAGATCCTGCTACGCCCTTAAGATTTGCTCCTAAAAGCGACCGCGGAGGCCGGGGGATGCGGAGGCCAGCGCTGACACCTCCATTCCGGCCTCCGGGGCCTTGGGAAAACCCTCAGAGAAGCCCAGGATTCTCCATGGGATAAGGGGAAAAACTAAAGCAAAAAAGAAACCGGGTTCCACTCGGCCAGCGCCGTCGCCTCCGGCCCCGCACGCTCCGACCCGCCTCGCGCCGAGCTGCCCCGCGTCTGCCCGGCCTTTAAAGCCCATTTTTTCCCTCTTTCTTTGCTTTCACCATCATAGGAAACCCGTAGTCGGGATTGTTACTATTGGAAACCCATCGCACGTTCCAGCCAGGTATTTTCCTCTCTCTGGCGTTCCGCAAAAATAAAGGCCTGAGAGAGAGACATAAGCGAACATAGAAGTAGAGTTAGGCTCGTTGTCTGAGTTTTGAGGCATATAGTATAAGGGGAGAAGGAAAAAAAAATTAAAATAAAAAATTAAAATAATGATGTTGCACAACTTGTAGAAAACAAAGAAGGGAAAGGGTTAATGTATTAAATGTGCTAAATTACATTAAGAACTTAATTTTATTAAAGTATTATTACTTAAGAAACTTGGGCGTCTGCTCCTGGTTTTCCGTCTCTTCGCGCTTGGGAAATGCCGGAGGGGTGAAGTGGGCCGGGATGTTGAGACTTCCTCCCAGGCCTCTTCCTCCTCCCGGATCTGAGGGATGCTCCGTGATCAGCTCCTGGCTCCGGGAGAACTGGCCGGGAAGCAGAGGCTGGGGCCAGCCCCATTCCCGGCCTCGGGGGCGCCACCGCCCCCAGACGCCGTTTTATTGCACCCAAATTTCCTTTTTGGCCACAAATTGGGGTGAGACGAGGGGCAGCGCCCTGGGGCTCAGCCCAGTTTGTCCCCATGGAGCGGGTGATGCCACACTGGGAGATGGGCAATGCCACCGCGGTGCCACCATCCCTCTGGTGCCACCATCAGCCAGTGCCACTGTCACCTGCATCCGGGAGCCCCAGAGGCTGGGAAGCAGCAGCCCAGCTGCTGGGGGCGGGAAATATTGAGAAATTATAGTAATAATTAAAAAAATATTAGTAGCTACAAACAGGTCCCCAAATGCCTTGCTGGAGGCTGCGAGCTCCTGCGCGCTCCGTTGTCCCCGTGCGTTGCGGCCCGGGCAGTGCCGTGGACCAGCAAGGCCACCCCGGTAGCACCTGGGGACAACGAGGGACACGTAGCACCCAGGGCCACGCCGAGCCAGCGAGGTGGCCCCTAGCGCTCCTGGCCGGCCGTGTCCAGGTCCGGCCGTCCACGCGGAGGCTCCGTTGGGAAGTCCCGGCGTTCCTGCCCTGCACGTGCCGCGTCGCGGGGGAAGCGCCACAGCGCGACAGGGGGGACACAGGGGACAACATCAGAGCCTCCTTTCCGGGCATGGTGGTGGCGTTTGCAAGGGAAACACGGGATGCACCCAAGAAATCCGCCCAGGGTGGGGTTCATCCATGCAACCGAGGGTGTAAAGCTCATGTTGGTGATGAAGCAGCTTCTTCCTCCTCCTCCTCCTCCTCGCCAGCGGGGCAATGGCCCTGGGCATGGGCCGGGCCGGGCGTTTTCCTGCCCGTCGCAGGTGGGGCCGGTTCCTGCAGACCTGGTGCAACAGGCTCCTGGAGGCCCCATCCCGCGGCTCCCCCTCCGGAGCCTGGAGCTTGTGACTCAACAGCTCCAATTTAGGCTTTTTTTCTCCCATTTCCTCTCCACAGCCCTGCAAGCGTCCTGCCAGTTACTGCAGCAGGGGCTGCCAAGCCCCATTCCCTAAGGAAGCTGCTCCGGGCCCAG